TCATGTAAAATGAAGAAAGCCACAATGGGGAAGCAGTGGATGCTTGGGAGCACTTAGGAGGAGCTTCTCTCCTCGACTTAGGGAGTCAAGGGAAGCTTCCTCGAGGAAGGGACCTCTAGGTTGAGACCTGAAAAATGAGTAGAGGTAACCAGACTGCAGTGGATGTTGTGGTGTACCACCAAATACCTCTTAAAGGACTGGGCCACTTATCCCCCAGGTGGCAGTAGTCTTGCCTTTGATGGCTCTTAGCTGAAGTCCTATCCAGGAATTGCCTTCTGCTGAAGGAAGCTGCCTTGCTCAAGGTTATGTCATTGCTACAGACAGGCAGGGTAAAAGGGCCACCTCCTTGCCTCAATTAGGACAATTCTAAAGGGCCATCCTAGTTCCAAACCTCCTCATAGGTTCAGCTGAGGCCTCAGTTGCACCTCCATGGCAATTTAACTTTCCCCTCTGCCAAATCCTGCTTCCCTTCTTCTTTATAGATGTTGTTTCCAAGAGCAGTGCCCAACAAAAATCCTGCACACAAACCCTCACCTCAGAAAAGGAAAAGAATGGTAATTATGGTGAGGATGCAGGGAGTATGTTACTAAAAGATGAAATGGCATGTTCAAGGCCTAGAGGTATTCAAGGAGAGAAAGGATTTTTACAAAGTCTGGAATGTAGGATTGAAGTCTGTGGGGGAGGGACATGATTCTAGAAAGAGAATCCAGCTCTTGTAATCCATGTTTTGGAAATGGGAAATTTGGGCTTTATTGTAAGGCCAATGGGAAACCCTTTAAGGTTATACATCATGGAAGAAACATGATCTGATTTCTGTTTTAGAAGGATCATTTTGGTTGCTCTGTGGCACCATTAATGCAAACTTTTGTTATTATGATTACTGTATTTTTTATTAGAATATTGGAGTGAATCATGACTCCTACATGTCATACATTTACAGAATGAATGACAAACTGTAAGCCCCCAGGCAAGTCATGTAATAAATACCAGTATTGTAGCAGTATTGTAAAAACTCAAACTCTGAAGGGATTCAATCACAGTGCTTCAGTCTTTTTTTTTTTTTTAACTTGGTTTACACTGTTTTAAGTATTTAATGAGCACTAACTACTTGCCAGAATGCACTGTGCTATTGCTGTGGAGGAGTCAAGCCAAAAGGTCCAAGAAGAAGGTTGTGCCTGTCTTCTCCATTGCTCTACCCACCGTAGTGCCTGACAAATAGTGAGGGATTAATAAATAAATAAACGAAGGTGGAGTCTCAGAAACATGGGCAAATTACTTAGTCCTCATGACCACAAAATGGGGATAGTAGTGGCTTCTGACTCTTCAGGTTGTTGCGATGGATAAGTAAGATAATGTAGATAAAACACTTAGTTCACAGGCTATTTAGCAAAAATCATAGTTACTGAAATCATTCAAGGACTATTGTTCTCAGTATTCTAGAAGTAAGTGAAGACCTTAAATGATTACAACCAAACTTCTGATATCAATTTCTCTTTTGTCCTCTTCACTCTGTAATATCACTTTGAAAGAAAAATATGATTTGAAACCAGGTTAAAAGATTATTCACTCATTACTTTATTCAATGAATTGGTTTTGAGGGCATCCAAGTTGCCAGATATAGGTTATACAGTGGGAACAGAACAGACGTAATCCTTGTTCTCATGGAGCTTATAGTCTAGAAGGGAGATGTTAAAAGAAAATTTCATAAATCATAAGAACCGAAGTGGTCTGCCATGAGAGAAAATAATAGAAAGAAGCTAATTTTGATATGGGAATCAGGTAAGGCCTCTCTGAAGAAGTGACCTTTGATCTGAGAAGCAAGAGTAGGAGTTTCATTAAGAATAGGGATAAAGCACTCCATGCAGAAGGACAACCCTGTTCATAGACCCTGGGGTAGAAAAAAATGTTTGGTCCATTAAAAGGATGGAGAAAAAACCAGCGTGTCATAGAGGAGAGAGATGAGCTGGAAAGAAGGCGGGGACAGATCTTCAGGGCCTTTGTTGCCACATGATCTTTCTTTATCCAGACTAAAAGGATACACAAACTGACTAAAATCTGACTGCCCTCTATTTCAGAGTAAGTTCTTGATGCCTGTTAAATAGGAGGAAAGGTAAAACTGCAGTCTGAACAGTCACAGCTAAGTCTTGGGAAAAGTTGGCTATTTTTTCCCATGTAGTCATCATGATGAATGAAAAAGCATATAGCAAAGGTGCTTAGTTGTTTGATAAGAGAACTAATATATTTGCAGAAATATATTGCATATTGTTCTACCTACATTTCAAATAGGGTGGAACTATTCACAAGTCTTTTTCTGTTTCCCTCCTGCCCAACCCCCTTTTTTTCTTGCATTTGTTTCTTTCAGCAGAAACAATAAATGGGAGTAGGGGACAATTTAGAATCAAGATGCTGCGGTGGTTTCCGAGGAAACACAGGAGAATTTTGGGTGCCATAAGTGTTTGAGTAGTGGCTTGCATAATGGATTTGCTTAGAGAGGCCTCTCTCTCAGTGATTAGAACAACCTGTGTTCTGGAATACAGTATTTAAACAGCGAGATTGGCATTGTTATCTTCCAGGATGGTGAAGGTTTAATTAACATTTGAAAATGCTTTGAGATCTTTGGATAAAAGTGTTCTGGAAACATGAAGTGTTATTATCTTTGGAGTGATATAGGTCATGTGACACAGGAAGTGGCTTTGAAGGAAAGGAAAACCTTTCATCAGGCAAACTCCTTAGGGTGGTTTGAGCCTGTTTTGAGTGACTCAACATGCCCGTGTCATCTCTCCCTAGACTGTGAATGAAAGGAATAACTTGGCCTACAGCTTAGCAACTGCAACCATCATTAACTGAAAAGTTTAGTAAGCTTGTATGTTAAACACTCTACAAATTACGCGGAATCCTAAAGTATTTAGCACAGTTATCCTTTAATAAGCATTGAATAAATATTAACTGTTACTTTTATTATTAGCTGTTACTGTTATTATAATTTTACCTGTTACTATTATTGTTATAGTTGAAGAAATCTGGATTTTCTCTGAATTTAATGCCCTTTAACCAAAGAATTTAGTATTCTTCAGTGATAAACCAACTTTACTTTCATTTTCGAGTCTTGGTAAAGAGCAAAATAAATGTAAACTGTGACTATAGAGACCCTAATGTGAGGGCTACAGGAAGGGTTTAGTGTCTGGAACCCTTCCTGGAAGGTTGGCTACTTAGTCTTTTCCTTTCCCAAGAAAAAGGACCCAAAGCTGAAATTAGGTTTCCTAACTTTAGTTCCTTGACGGTTCCCCAGGGTCTTCAGTAGACAGGATTTCAAAGAGAACACTTTAAAGTAGTTCCAATTTATTTAAGAGTAGAAGTGCAGGATTTCATCCTGTTCCTTCTATTAACTTACGTGTCTTCATAATACTGCCTGGAAATATAGAAGATGGGACAGGGGTGGGGAGTGGAGAACAGGAATACGGTTCATTTGAAAAAAGTTTACTTTTGAGGAATATATATGTCAAACCAAACCTGTCCATGTGTATTCGCGAAATTAATTTTGCCAGCTACATGACCCAGGGTCTTCATAAATATACAAATTTGTCTCAAGTATTATATATACACATGCACACATACATATATTTATTTATGTATTTTTTACACAGCAAAACTGCTTTTGAAGAACATAGCACAGGAGGGAAGGAGGGAGAGGGAATCAAGAAAATGTCGATAGCAAGAGGCTATCGACATCCAGCTAATGAGTCTAAGGGTGCAGGAGAGGGCGGGGAGCATGCTGGGAAGGCAGCTGCCCAGGCAAACTTGGAGGGATTTCAAATGGTTAGTTTTTTTGTTGCTTTGAGGTGGAGTCTGGCTCAGGCCCAGGCGTAGGCAGTGGTGTATAACGGCTCATTAAACCTCCATCTCCCAGGTTCAGGCAATTCTGCAGCCTCCTCCTGATTAACTGGGACCCAGTGCAGCTCCATGCCCAGGAATCTTTTGTATTTTATTGAACGGGTTTCCCCCGTGTTATCCAGGGGTCTTGATCTCCTGACATTCGTGAATCCCTTCCCCGCCTCTCAAACAGTTTTACAGGATGAGCCTCCGGCCAGGCCTCAAATTGTTTTTCAAAGAGAAAACACTTCTTTGTCTCAGCATATACCTAGTGTGACTGGACAACAAGATCGAAAAAGAATCAAGGGATCCATAGACCTAAGACTCAGGACATCCTTACCTGATTCCTTGAGCTGATAACTTCTCTGTTTTCTGTTTTCTTGATGGGCACAAATAAGAGCAATTATTATTAGGCCCTTACTACCTAAATATTGTAAACTCTTTGTAGATTAGGATTTTGCCTTTTATTTCTCTATTCACATTGTTGATGGGAACAACTGAACTCTGAATTCGTATCCCAGGGTCTGCTGTAGTTGCTATTTGTTTCCTGCAGCTTTGCCTGGTGTTTGTGAGTTTGTGGTCTTACTTAACTGAAGAGCTTGTGGGCATGCCTCCCCACTTTCTTCCTTACCCTGTTTTAGATTCTTAGGAATGTGTCCTTCTAATATTCCTCTTGAAGTTTCAGAGCAAACAGCTAGACATTTCAGTAAGCCTGCAAACTGAGTGGGAATTTATCTTTGAACTTGAACCTAAATCAGTGAGAAACACTTTTTTCATTTTGCTATGCACTAAATGTAGTCAGAAGTGAAGAAATGGGAGATGGGAGGAGAAATGAGTCATGGTTAAAGAAGGGATAATCCTAGGATACTGGCAAATTAATTGAACTCTGATACTAACAAATGGCAAAGTAGGTAATCATAATTGGAGCAGAGAAGGCTTCTCTGTTACTGCTTTAGTTCAGATTTAAATATTAACTAGTGTCAGAGAAACAGGAATTTTGAGAAAATATTGGGCCAAGTGAGTGGCAGTTGCTCTAGCCTCTAGTCCATTCCCAACGACCAGAACTCTGATTGGCTGAAAGCCCAGCCTTATTGTAATTCCAGCCAATCAGGGATTAGTTTAGTCATTGACGCTAGTATTTTAAAGGTTTTGAAAAGCTGAGTACTGGGTACTTGCTTTTTCCTTCTTTCTCTAGGACTGTAGAAGATTGGAGAACAATGGTCAGCAGCTGCCCAGTTGCCTTGTGGCCTGATGCAAAGTCCCTCTGAGAGCCCATTTCTCCCTTACTCCACTAGTCTTTGGTCCCCTTTCTCCAGCGCTGAGTGATGTGGAAGTTACTTAGAGGTCGTTCCAGGTATTCTTTTAAATTTTCAGAAGTAAGAACAAAATTCAAAGTGTAGTTATCTCAGTAGGCTATTCATTTTATTGGAGTGACACTGTTTTTTTCTTCTCCAGTCCAGATCAAAATGGTAGTTCGAATGTTTTACCCTCACCATTGGTAAGAATATGAGTGGGTGAGGCTTTTGAGAATGGCAATAGGAGGAATGTATGACTGTCAGGGTCTTATTCTGAGACCTAAAATTCTATTGGCCTGCGACTTACAATTTGTGTGGGGAGGCCAAATTATCAGATAAGCGGTGTTAACCATCTCTTCTGATTTTAATATTACTTTTGGAGAGAGTGTGAGGGGCAAGCAAGACCCTCTCTTGTTTTTGGAGTTTCTGTCCTGAGAGTTCTTCCTTGGATAGTTTGCTCTGAGACAGTTCATCACCTGTTGAACTAAGGAACCAAGACAACTTTGAGAAGTAAAATACCAGTTGACAATCTAGGCTCCTCCTCACTTTAGTTTCCATCTCTACCCCACCTCACCGCACCCCAAAAAACTCAGGAAGCAGCCTTTTTCTTAATTGTAGTTCCTCAGTTTTATATTTTTGATGGGTGCTGGTGTCCCTATAGTGGGAGATGTCACAGAATGGGAAATCAAGGGATTGAAAATGGTGGGTTTGGGGATATGTTGTGAAAACAAGCCTCTGGCTAATGCTGAAAAGCTGGTGACTTGTATCTTCAGAATGGTTTCAGAGAAGCATGTTTTCTAACGTAACTTTATTGTTGGGTCTTCTCTCCCCAGGGGTAAATGAAGGAGAGGTAGATCCCATAGATTGTGATACTTCTCATTTAAGGACCTAAAATAAATTTAAAACTCATAATTGAGACAAAATTTTCAAGTTAATATCTTTCTGTCTGCAGTGATAGGATTTTTGTCAGGATTGAATTGGTTGCTTGCTATTTCTTCCCTACCGAATAAGGCATAGCCAGCTGTAGCTTTCTGCCTGGTGTCCTTCCCTGCCTGAACAGTAGAGAGTGCTGCTGCTTTTGTAGACAGTCTGTGATTCCTCTTGGCGCATTTTTGGTCCCTTCTGACTACACATGTTGAGGCTTCCCCTTGAATGTCCACCCAGAGAACAATTTGAACTGGTGTGTTAAGGAATTTTCTTCATCTTCTACTTTCCCTCTTTTTTAGGGGTGAGGTTTGGAGGGTTCCAATTGTGCTTTAAAGTGAAAACTGTCTATTCTTTAGGAGACTGGGTGAAGAAAGCTGGGTAGCAGGTAGCTTTGCGAAAAGGTAGCAGTTGGGTAGTGCTTACCTTCTGTTTTTTCTGGATAAGCACCCAGTGTAAGTACCTTGCAATATTTGTAGAATTATTCCAAGTTATATATCTATGGTCCAGTGTAATGGCTCACATCTTTAATCCCAACACTTTGGAAGGCCGTGATGGGCAAATTGCTTAAAGTCAAGAGTTTGAAGACCAGCCTGGCTAACATGGCAAAACCCCATCTCAACTAAAAATACAAAAATTAGCCAGGCATGGTAGCAGGGCCCTGTAATCCCAGCTACTCAAGAGGCTGAGGCAGGAGACTCACTTGAACCTGGGAGGCAGAGGTTGCAGTGAACTGAGATCACACCACTGCACTCTAGTCTGGGTGACAAGAGTGAGAATCCATCTCAAAAAATATATAGCTGTATGTATATATATCTATATCCGAGACTTCCACTTACCTATGTGAAACTTACATTGACATTTCACTCCTGTGGGGTGTTTTTTGTTCTTTTTGTTTTTTTTTTAAACAGAGTTTTACTCTGTCACCCAGGCTGGAGTGCAGTGGCTCCATCTCAGCTCTCTGCAACCTCTACCTCCCGGGTTCAAGCAGTTCTCCCGCTTCAGGCACCCGCCATCATGCCCAGCTAATTTTTGCCTTTTTGTAGAGATGGGGTTTCACCATGTTGCCCAGGCTGGTCTTCCTGACCTCAGGTGATCAACCTGCCTTGGCCTCCCAAAGTGCTGTGCTGGGATTACAGGCATGAGCCACCGTGCCCGGCCTAGATTTTTTTTAAAGAAGAAATTTTTTTTTCTGGCCGGCACAGTGGCTCATGCCTCTACTCTTAGCACTTTGGGAGGCTGAGGCCGGTAGAGTGCTTGAGTTCAAGAGTTCGAGACCAGCCTGGGCAACATAGTCAAATCCCGTCTCTACTAAAATACAAAAACTTAGCCAGGCATGGTGGCACGTGCCTACAGTCCCAGCTACTAGGGAGGGTGAGGCACAAGAATCGCTTGATCCTGGGAGGTGGAGGTTGCAGTGAGCCAGGATAGCGTCACTGCACTCCAGCCTGGGCAGCAGAACAAGACTGTCTCAAAAAAAAAAAAAAAAATTTTTTTATTGAAAAAGAAACTAAATGACTGGCTTTTGGTAAGATATAATAGAAGTTAGGCTCCTGGGCTCCTTTTTCTTTATTCTCTCATGAAGGTCAGGGAGAGTGCAACATGAAACAGGCCCTGTGACATACCACTGAGGACAAGAGGTCTTGGACCGTAGGAAGGAAGAAAGAATTTCTACTCTGACTGGCTGAGATCCCGTGAATTCTGACGGGTGGAGGGCATTTCTAGACTACAGGCAACTAGTAAATTTGACTGACTAAAATAAATGGAGCACAAACAATCATAGAGTAAGGCAACATTTTGGGAGTAGTAAATATAAAGAGGAATGCATAAGGGATACTGACTTATTGGCAGTATAAAGTATTAGTTTTAACAGCCTAAAGGAAAAGAAAGGTATCTTTTTCTAAAACATGTCTCAGTGCCAATGAAATATTCTGCAAAATCAAGGGCCACTAAACACTCTTCTCCTCTGCCAAAAGAAATCATTTTATCTTCAGTTGAAATTTCAGCAAAACTGAATTTTTTCTTCCACTTCAGGAATAACAGAATACATCAAGAAAATGAAAACAAAACTTCATTCAGTCTGCTTTGATTTAAGCTATTATTAATGCTTTTGAAAGAGCTTAACTTTATTAAAAATATTATTCTAATCAAATACTTGAAATAAAAACATGTGGCAGCCGTGTGCAGTGGCTCATGCCTATAATTCCAGCACTTTGAGAGTCTGAGGCTGGAGGATTGCTTGAACCCAGGACTTTGAGACCAGCCTGGGCAATGAAGGGAAGTCTCATCTTGACAAAAAATCAAAAATTTAGCCAGGCGTGGATAGTGGTTTGTTCCTGTAATCCCAGCTACACTAGAGGCTGAGGCAGAAGAGTTGCTTAAGCCCAGGAGGTCAAGGCTGCAGCAAACAAACAAAACCGGGGCCAGGCACAATGGCTCAAGCTTGTAGTCCCAGCACTTTGGGAGGCTGAGGCAGGTGGATCACCTGAGGTCAGGAGTTTGAGACCAGCCTGACCACCATGCTGAAACCCTGTCTCTACTAAAAATACAAAAATTAGCCAGGCATGGTGGCAGGCACCTGTAATCCCAGCTACTCGGGAGGCTGAGGCAGGAGAATCGCTTGAACCCAGGAGGCAGAGATTGCAGTGAGCTGAGGTCATGCCATTCATTACACTCCAGCCTGGGCGACAGAGCAAGACTCCATCTCAACAAAACAAAACAAAACCAGGCGGGGTGTGGTGGCTCTCGCCTGTAATCCCAGGACTTTGGGAGGCTGAGGTGGGTGGATCACAAAGTCAGGAGATTGAGAACATCCTGGTTAACATGGTGAAACCCTGTGTCTACTAAAAATACAAAAATATAGCTGGGTGTGGTGGCTGTAATCCCAGCTACTCAGGAGACTGAGGCAGGAGAATCACTTGAACCTGGGAGGCAGAGGTTGCAGTGAGCTGAGATCCCGCCACTGTGCTCCAACCTGGGTGACAGAGCAAGACTCCGTCTTGAAAAATAAAAATAAAAAATAGAGTCCACATTTCCTAGCTTACAAATGAAACCATGCTAGTGTATTTTTCATGCAGTGAGGTGGGATAAATTTTTAAATGACCAAGAATCTCATCCCTGTTTTAATAATCTTCAGATGCGTGATATGTCAAGCAATTCCAGAGAAAACCCAGCCATGTTAATGACATTTTAAAAACTACCACACAATTAATTCTGCACTAGTGGAGGCTGAGTGAAGTTTGTGATTGCTTCTTTAATTGCTAAAAGTTAGACTAGTTGGCCTAATGCAGAGATTTGCTTAAGTGTTCAACTTGGATGTATTTCAAGAGAAAATGGAAATTTTTATAGGGTACCTAATTTAGGGCATGTCACGTCAACTATGATGTTTTAATGTGTTTTTAATGTAGTTGAGCTGTAAATGTGCAAAGTTGGCTAGCGATCATAAGCCCAAGTTGTCTGGTTTAATCACATGATGCTGAGCCCTGCTAAGACCTGTGGATACCAAATGATTCCCTTGGCAGTGTTTGTTGGACTGATTAGTGTCAGCAGTGAATGAATGCTGATTAGAGAGAGAGATAATGTAACTGCATGTCCAAAGGATATACAGATTTTAACCAACATTTGGTGTAGAAGAGCAAGTTTTCAAAGCTGCCGTTTTCTTACTGGTGGTTTTGTTTTTTTGAGACAGTCTTGCTCTTGCTCAGAAGGCAGTGGTAGAATCACAGCTCATTGCAGCCTCAACTTCCTGGACTCAAGCAATCCTCCCCCTTTAGCCTCCCAAGTAGCTGGAACTACAGGTATGCACGCCCAGCTAATTTTAAAATTTTTGTAGAAACAGAGTGTCCCTGTGTTTCTCAGGCTGTTCTCAAATTCCTGGGCTCAAGCTGTACTCCTGTCTCTGTCCCCTAAAGTGCTGGGATTATACGCAAGAGACATTGTGCCCAGCAAGGTTGTTTTTGAAAAACAAATGCATTTTAAAATAGCAGAGGAGGCTGGGCGTGGTGGCTCAGGCCTGTAATTCCAGCGCTTTGGGAGGCTGAGGTGGGCAGATCAACTGAGGTCCAGAGTTTGAGACCAGCCTGACCAACTTGGAGAAACCCCATCTCTACTAAAAATACACAATTAGCCAAGCGTCATGGCTCATGCCTGTAATTCCAGCTACTCGGGAGGCCAAGGCAGGAGAATCGCTTGAACTGGGAATGTGGAGGTTGCAGTGAGCAGAGGTCATGCCATTGCACTCCCCGCTGGGCAACAAGAGTGAAACTCGGTCTCAAAAAAAAAAAAGCAAAGAAGACCGAGAATGGGATGTTGTCTCTGAAGGCCAGGAATTCAGTGCTGATCCTGTTGTGGGAGATCCTCCGTGCATCCAGATAGGACAGATTTTTTTGGAAAACGTTTCAGGAACTGTTTTCACACAAATTTGTTGCTGGCAATTGAAATGAAAAGACTTGATTGGTGGAGATGGAGTCATTCCCAGCATCTCTTAGTGAATCAGAGCTATGAAGCTTGTTCTGCTTACAAGTTGGCCCAAGGATTTGGTGGGAGAACTGAATAAATTAGTTTTGATCTAAAAGCCTTGACACTAACAGGATATAGGGGAAAACATAAGCTTCTAGGACTTAGGAGACCTGTGCAGCCGTTTTGGATGCCTCACTAGCTCTTCCTCTGTTGGAGGTTAGGTGAAATTATTGCCATAACCACCTCAGAAGGCTATTTGAAAATCTTGGCCAGGTGTGGTGTCTCATGCCTGTAATCATAGCACTTTAGGAGGCCTACGTGGGTGGATCATTTGAGATCAGGAGTTTGAGACCAGCATGGCCAACATGGTGAAACCCGTCTCTACTAAAAATGTAAAAATTAGCTGGGTATGGTGGTACACGCCTGTAATCCCAGCCACTTGGGAGGCTAAGGCAAGAAAATCACTTGAACCCAGGAGGTGAAGGCTGCAGTGAACCAAGTTCATGCCACTGTGCTCCAGCCTGGGCAAAAGAGTGAGACTCCATCTCAAAAAAAAAAAAAAAAAAATTGAAAATCTTCATTGGAAATGCTTTGAAAATCTGAAACAATACTAAAAATATATTGTAGTTGTTAATAATACCATCAGGTCAGTTATGGCCAAGTCTATATTTTGCTGTGGTATTATATTTCAGAGTTTAATCTGAATTTAATTTTGTAGCCACAGAAAATAATCTGTAGTTTTAGTCTATTTGGAATTCTTTTTTTTTTTTTTTTTTTAATTGGTCTAGGTGAAGCCAATTAATCCTAATTATTCTTCTCTCAGTACTGGTGTGTTTCAGTAGGTACATGTTACAACCTCACTTGTCTATCAGATGAATTGACCCTGGCACTGAGTGACAGATGCCACCACCAAATTGTCCTCAATTTCAGTGTTAACCAGCTCTTCTCCTTCTTTTCCAGTCCCATGCCTTTGACATCGCATCCTTCAGTCTCTTTGCTGTAAAGGCAACTTGAACAAGCTTCAGCCCTTTCTCAGACTTCCAGGGCAGGACTTGAATGGATTTGACCCTGGAATCGTTCCTGATGCAGCCTTGTTCAGTTCTTGCTACTGCCATGCTGGATTCCAAAGATCCACTCTTTCCTCGACTGGTCTCGCAGGGTCAGGCCCACTGGTTAAAGCTTGTTGTGTATTTGGTGGGGAGGTTCAAAATGAAGGAGGGACTCCAGTCCACTTTGGGCATTGGACCTGAAGGCAAAAAATAAGTGTTCAGTTTAAAAGCACTAAGTCCCCATTGTTTAGGCAGCTGTTAATCAGCCACGTTTCTATGAAAATAAGTCCTTTTCATGAGGCAATTGTGTGGGAATAGCTAATTCTGGCCTGATGCTGTGCAGTGTGAGGTTAAAAACATGGCAACTTGTCACAACACAATTCTTGTTCTTTTTGCTGTGGGCTGACTCTACATTACTTGCTTTGTTTGCTCTAGAATGGAATCTACTCACCATTTACTAAAATGAAATGCATTTCTTTGGGGAGGCAAAGTCCATTTCACTAGGTCTTCCATCTTAAAGAGAAAGGAGCCCTGGCTTCCTCTATGACTAATTGTTAGGAATGTCATTTCGCTTATTTAAATACCAGTTTTGGTTCTGGGATTGAATATTATATGCAGGGGCTACTATGTGTCTTAGTTTAAAGAAATTTATATGCGTTATCCACATATTTTGTCCATGTCTTATTCCTTGTAGTACAGATTAATTTTCAAAATAGTTAGCAGTAAGTGAGGCAAGCATTACAGAGAAAGCTTGGCATAGTAGAAAGTGCACAAGCTTTGTATTCTGACAAATGTGGGTAATATCCTGACCTCAGGCAAGTTATTTAACCTCTAGGCCTTATTTCCTCCTTTGAAAAATGGGAATAATGAAGTTCACTGGACTGTGTTTAGAGGATAATGTATGGAAAATCCCTGGCCTCAGTAATTATGAGTAATCTTCCACCAAAACCATCCTTTACGTTTTTTCTAGAAGTCAGTTCTGAACTCCCCGATTTCCATAAGGGTAGTGTTTCAGGAAGGAAGGGGCTGGGGACACCTTTCAGCAGCCCTGGACGTTGTTTCACTTTCGACTAACAAGCTTTATGCTGCTGACACAGTGTCTCCCCATGTACCTAGATGCCTTTGGTTTTCCTCAAAGATTTGTGTATTCTTAGCCACTAGCCAACTGAAGAACAGGCTAGATCTTCTCTGATAGAGTTTGGGCCTAATGTCTTACTTTGGAATTTGCTACTCCATTTCTTCACAGCAGTTTGACTAATAGAAATCCAGTATTGGGGAAGCCATTTGTTCAAATCCCTTGGCCTGTCTGCTCCTAAAGGATAGGCTCCTGACAGATTTTATAAGCACCTTGCTTAATTTAGAGTTACAGGATGGTGTATACCATGTAGCCGGATTTCAGTTGGTCCTTTACATCTTGTGATTGGGGGATTTTTCTTGGAGATTTTTAATAGCAGATGGCCTCTTTACAGCATTGTGACAGTTGGTGTAGACATTTACTCAAGCAGATTTATATCCATCACATTTCAGATCTGTCAGCATTTAGAGGTCATTCCCATTTTCCTTCTTTCTTCTAGCAGCCTTTTTATATTAGTAGGGCTTGTCAAGACAGTGATGGAAAGAGAGGATCGCCTCAGTAAAAGGAGGGCAGCTTTGCCAGTTTGTAGTTTAAAATACGTAAGTAAATCACAAATCTCCCTAATGCAGATATCCATAGACTCAAGCTGTAAATTGCTATACCATCACCACCGTATAAGAACTATGACTTTTGTCCCCACTTCAGACAACCCTGAACTAGGTTCTTTTTTGCATGTGAACAACAGGAAAAGAAAGATGATTCCTTATTACAAAAATGATCAGATATTTAGTTATGTTGCAGTAATCGTTTCAGTAATGAATTGCCTTTATCATTTAAGTTGAAGAGTGGAACGATTTTGAGTAACCCAATAGAGGTTACTAGTTCTTTTAAAACATTGTTGGTCATGTATGATTTTCTTCTAGGTATTTGCTCAGGAATATAATTCCCAATTATATAACATTGTTCCTTTAGGAAAGTGCACTTCGTCTAATGGCACAGTTTCAAAAAATAGATCTTAGAGGTAGGGAAAAAAATTCTATAATCCTGTTGCTGAATATATAAGGTACTGGAGGGAGCGCAAAGGGGGCAGCAAGTGCACACATAGATGTGATGGGCAGAGGGAACACCATTGGATGGGTGCTCCTTATAGTATGGCACTGGCAGCTTGTACCTCATATATCCCTATCATCTATGGTCTTAGTCTCTGCTGTCACTCAGTTCTGTTCCTGTCTTAAACACCAACATGCTATGCTTTTAACTCTTGCCACCTACCTTTGCTCTGCTTGTCCTTCAGTGACAAATGCATGAGGCACTTTACAGGAGATGAAATAATTAAAACTCTTGAGGATGTGACCAATTTCACATTGAGAAATCAGTTGCCCTTGGATGGAGTAACCATTTTTCCTCTAAGTTTGCAAAAGAGGCCGCGGTTGTGACATGGTGGAAGGAAACAGAAAAATTCCTTTCCATGAGGGAATGTCTAAATTGATCTGTCCTGCAAGAGGAGGACTACAGGCAGAAATAGTGAGGTGTGAGGCAGGAACATGAGAGGGATTTTCTTGGTTTAGTTTGAATATCTAAGTGACAAAAAGGAGCATCTGAAGAACTTAGATTCTTTCATTAGCACCTCCTTTTGGTCCATTGGCCTATTGAACAAGTCTATAAATTCCTTCAAGTATCACACTATTTTCAGCTCAATGTGCTGAGGGCTCTAGACCAAAGATGACTCTGTAAGATTACAGAGGTTATTCCCTATGTGCAGTAACATCATTCTCATTCTCTTTCATTTTCAGGGAAGCAGAGACTTTCAAGGAACAAGGAAATGCATACTATGCCAAGAAAGATTACAATGAAGCTTACAATTATTATACAAAAGCCATAGGTGAGAAAGTCCTGATACTTTTGCTAGAAAACATTTACTTGACAAATATTATTAAAAGCAGCTCTCATTTGTGGTGACTCATGCCTATAATCCCAGCACTTTGACAGGCTGAGACAGGTGAACCACCTGAGGTCAGGAGTTTGAGACCAGCCTGGCCAACATGGCAAAACCCTGTCTCTACTAAAAATACAAAAATTAGCTGGGCTTGGTGGTGCACGGTTGTAATCATAGCTACTTGGGAGGCTGAGGCAGGAGAATCATTTGAACCCGGGAAGTGGAGGTAGCAGTGAGCCAAGATTGTGCCATTGCACTCCAGCCTGGGCAACAAAGCAAGACTTCATCTCAAAAATATGAAAAACGGTGTCTCATGCCTGTAGTCCCGACACTTTGGGAGGCCTAGGCGGATGGATCATCTGAGGTCAGGATTTTAGAACAGCCTGGCCAACATGGCAAAACCCTGTCTCTACAAAAATTAGCTGGACGTGGTGGCAGGTACCTGTAACCCAGCTACTTAAGAGGCTGAGTCAGGGAGAATCACTTTAACCCAGGAAACAGAGGTTGCAGTGAGCTGAGATCGTGCCCTTGCACTCCATCCTGGGCGATAAAGCAAGACTGTCTCAAAAACAAAGGCCAGGTGCAATAGTAGCTCATACCTATAATCCCAGTACTTTTGAGAGGCCAAGGTGGGCAGATCACCCAAAGACAGGAGTTCAAGACCAGCCTGACTAACATAGTAAAACCTCATCTTTACCAAAAATACAGAAATTAGCTGGGCCTAGTGGCGTGTGCCTGTAATCCTAGCTACTAAGGAGGCTGGGGCAGGAGAATCGCTTGAACCCAGGAGACAGAGGTTGCAGTGAGCTGAGACCGCGCCATTGCACTCCAGCCTGGGCAACAAGAGCAAAAAACTCCATCTCGAAAATCAAATTAAATTAAAAAATGAAAGTAGCTTCTCTCTGAGAAGTAGCTTTTTGCTTAGTGGATTGATGACTGTTATTGTATGAACTCCTTCAGGCTTAATGATCTCATAAAAACTTTTTTTTTTTTTTTTTTTTTAACTTTTTAAATGTTTAAAAATAGGGCCGGGCGCAGTGGCTCACACCTATAATCCAAGCACTTTGGGAGGCCGAGGCGGGTGGATCACTAGGTCAAGAGATCGAGACCATCCTGGTCAACATGGTGAAACCCCATCTCTACTAAAAATACAAAAAAACTTAGCTGGGCATGGTGGCGCAGCCTGTAGTCCCAGCTACTCAGGAGGCTGAGGTAGGAGAATTGCTTGAACCAAGGAGGCGGAGGTTGCACCGAGCTGAGATTGCGCCATTGCACTCCAGCCTGGGTAATAAGAGCCAAACTCCGTCCCAAAAAAATAAATTAAAAAAAAAAAAAAAAAGAGAGAGGGTCTTACTATATTGCCCTAGCTGGTCTCAAACTCCTGGGCACAAGTGATCCTCCTACCTTGGTCTCCCAAAGTGCTGGAATTACAGGCATGAGCCACCATGCCCAGCTGTGATAACGTCTTGTAACTGGGGTGGGTAGTTTTTCTGTTGACAAATCATAGACAATTCCAGAAATATTGAATGTTATGTCAAAATAACACCTACCTAAATGCATTTCAGTCATTGCCAATTCATTTACTGCCTTAGAAAATGGCCTTTATACATAAAAGAAGTCTTAGTTATGTCCATGCTTAATTTGCCAGCATACTTTAATCCCATGTAATCAATCTTTTCACCTAATTTGTTTACCCCAACTCAACATGCACATTTCATTTTAATATCTCATACAAAACATAGTTCATTAAGATTAATAAGCTGTCCCGCCCCTCAAAAGATAATCACTGCACTTTAAAGCTGTATCTTACTTTGTTTTAAAACTGTATCATTGCTTTTGTCCATTTGCACAGGCAGTCAGAAATTTGGCCGTAGCCTTTTATTTATTTATTTTTGAGACAGCATCACTGTCACCAAGGCTGTAGTGTAGTGGCACAATCTTGGCCCAGTTTCAAGTGATTCTCATGCCTTAGCTGCCTGAGTATCTGAGATTACAGGTGTGTACCACCATGCTTGGCTAGTTGTTTAGTATTTTGTTAGAGTTTTGCCATGTTGGCCAGGCTGGTCTCAAACTCCTGGCCTCAAGTGATCTGCCCATCTCAGCCTTGGTCTCCCAAAGTCTTAAGATTGCAGGTATGAGCCACCATGCTGGCTGTGGTCCCTTTTTTTTTTATCTTTTTTTTTTTTTTTTTGAGTTGGAGTCTTGCTCTGTCTCCTAGGCTGGAGAACTCAGCTCACTGCAACCTCCGCCTCCCAGGTTCAAGCGATTTTCCTGCCTCAGCCTCCTGAGTAGCTGGGACTACAGTTGTGTGCCACCACTCCCAGCTAAGTTTTTATATTTTTAGTAGAGACAGGGTTTCACTGTGTTAGCCAGGATGGTCTCAATCTCCTGACCTTGTGATCTGCCCACCTCAGCCTTCCAAAGTAGTGGGATTACAGACGTGAGCTACTGCGCCCGGCTGGCTGTGGCCTTTAAAATGGAGCATGTCAGGGTTGGGTGCAGTGGCTCATGCCTGTAAACCCAACACTTTGGGAGGCTGAGGCAGATAGATCACTTGAGGCCAGGAGTTCAAGATCAGCCTGGCCAACATGGCAAAACTTCATCTCAACAAAAAGTACAAAAATTAGCTGGTTATGACGGCATGTGCCTGTGGTCCCAGCTACTTGGGAGGCTGAGGTAGGAAGATGGCTTGAGCCCAGGAGGCTGAGGATACAGTGAGCAGAGATCATGCCACGGCACTCCAGCCTGGGCAACAGAGCCAGACTCTGCCTCAAAAATAAATAAATAAAAATAGAAAAATTAGCCAGGTGTGGTGGCTCATGCCTGTAATCCCAGCTACTTGGCTACTTGGGAAGCTAAGGCAGGAGAATCACATGAATGCAGGAGGCAGAGGTTACAGTGAGCCAAGGCTGTACCACTGTAACCTCACTGCACTCCAGCTTGTGCAACAGAGTGAGACCCTGTCACACACACAAAAAAAACTATCTCCACAAGAAAAAAGAATTTGTCAGCATTACAGATTGATTCCCTTAACGTTGTTTGGAGGGAGATGCCTCTACTCTTTTTTTTTTTTTTGAAAGAGTCCTGTGTTACCCAGGCTGGAGTACAGTGACTTGGGTCACTGCAACCTACACCTCCCAGATTCAAGCAGTTCTCATGCTTCAGCCTCCGGAGTAGCTGGAATTACGGGTACCCTCCAGCACGCCCAGCTAAATTTTTAAATTTTATTTTAGTAGAGACGGATTCACAATATTGACCAGGCTGGTCTCAAACTCCTGACCTCAAGTGATCTGCCCATCTCAGCCTTGCAAAGTGCTGGGATTATAGGCATGAGCCACTGTGCCCCGCCTCCTCTAAGTTTTCAAAGCCAGGGACCTGTTCTAAACTTTGTTTTATATTCTTCTGCCTTTCCTCTAGATATGTGTCCTAAAAATGCTAGCTATTATGGTAATCGAGCAGCCACCTTGATGATGCTTGGAAGGTTCCGGGAAGCTCTCGGAGATGCGCAACAGTCAGTGAGATTGGATGACAGTTTTGTCCGGGTATGTATGTAATGGGACTGTCTGGGGAAGGCTGGGTTGCTGCAGTTGAGTTTCTCTAGCCCAGTATTTCTCAAACCTGACAATACTGACATTTGAGACCAGATTATTCTTTGTTGTGGGGGACTTTACTCTGCATTACAGATTGTTAAGCGGCATCTCTGGCTTTTAATCACTAAGTATGAGTAGTACCCTCTCTGCCCAATTGTAACAACCAAAAATGTCTTCTAACGTTGCTAAATGTCCCCTGGAGGGCAAATTGCCCAAGTTGAGAACTACTGCTCTAGTCATTTTCATTCTGTTTGTTTGTTTGAAATGGTTTCTTGCTCTGTCGCCCAGGTTGGAGTGCAGTGGTGTGATCTCAGCTCACTGTAACCTCTGCCTTCCAGGTACAAGCGATTCTCCTGCCTCAGCCTCCTTAGTAGTTGGGACTACAGGCATATGTCACCACGCCTGGCTAATTTTTGTATTTTTAGTAGAGATGGAGGTTCACCATCTTGGCCAGACTAGCCTCAAACTCCTGACTTCAAATGATTCACCCACCTCAGCCTCCCGAAGTGCTAGGATTATAGGCGTGAGCCACTGCACCCAGCCTCTGTGTTGGTTTTGTGTGGGTGTTTGTTGCTGCTGTTGGTTTCTTTTTGCTCGGCCAATCATGCTCCTTTTCTTCCCTCTTTGTGTTCTAGGGACATCTGCGAGAAGGCAAGTGCCACCTCTCTCTAGGGAATGCCATGGCAGCATGTCGCAGTTTCCAGAGAGCCCTAGAACTGGATCATAAAAATGCTCAGGCCCAGCAAGAGGTACGGGTCTGATCCTGTTTCTATCCAAAGAAGCAGTGTGGTATATGTGGGAGGAGTGGCTACTTGAATGTCAGTACTGAGGTCTAGTCTCGCTTTTGCCATCAGCACACCTGGGTGACTTTAGGCGAATTTCATAATCTCTTTAAGCCTCAGCTTCCTAATCTGTAAAATGAGTTTTGAATAGGATTGATAGCTTTTTTTTTATTTAAGTTTACTGCTTAAAGACAGCTTTTAAAAATCTGCGAAAATGGAAGCATTTCTAATGGCTGAGGAGTAAGCAAATGCTTCCAGGGACCGATTTGAATGAGGTTAAAGAATTTTAGAGCCTGGGAAACATAGTAAGACGCTGTCTCCAAAAAAAATTTTCTTAATTAGCCAGACCTGGTGCCATGCACCTGTAATCTCAGCTCAGGTGGGAGGATTGCTGGTGCTCAGGGTCGAGGCTGCAGTGAGCCATGATTCCACCACTGCACTGTAGCCTGGGCAACAGAGCAAGAACCTGTCTCAAAGAAAAAAGGAATCTGAGTAAATTCAAGCCCTGATTAAATTGGTAGCAGCTGAAACATGTTTTAGTTCCATCTCTGTATGTAGTGTGTGTCGTTTAATGACAGGCATACATTTTGTTAGGTGATTTTGTCATTGTGCAGACATTATAAAGTATACGTAAACAAACCTAGGTGGCATAGCCTGTTTGACACCTAGGCTATATTGCAGCAGCTACTGGACTACACACTTGTATAGTGTGTTACTGTCCTGAATATTGTAGGCAGTTATAACACAGTGGTAAGTGTTTGTGTATCTAAACAGAAAAGGCACAGTAAAAATAAGGTGTTAAAATCTTACAGGAGTACTGCCGTATATACAGTTCATTGTTGACCAGAGTATATGACTGATACACAGTTTACCCTAGATGCATTTCAGTGAGAATCTCAAAACGTATGCTCAATCCCTGGCAATGCATTGCCTTTATTTTATGTATATCGAGCATGATACTTGTGTTCCTACTTGAAATTCAAACTGAGAGTGAAGTTTGGGTCTAGCCTTTCTGTTAAGGAGTCTGGCCTGTATCTTCATCAACTTGATTTGTGAAATGTCTGTGGTTCTGATTTTCTTGAAAGAAAATCTTCTAGGGACACCTATGAGAGGGCAAGTGCTACCTCTCTCTAGGGAATGCCATGGCAGCCTGTCACAGTTGCCAGAGGTCTCTAGAATTGGATCATAAAAATGCCCAGTCACAACAGAAGGTACGAGTCTGACCCTGTCTCTATCAAAAGAGGCAGTATGGTATATTTACTGAATTCAGATTCATCAAGGCCTTGTTAATTTTTTGTGGTTGTTTAATCTGTAGCTTCATTAAAACTTTGCTATGTCTGATTTTCCGGTGTAGTTCAAGAATGCTAATGCAGTCATGGAATATGAGAAAATAGCAGAAACAGATTTTGAGAAGCGAGATTTTCGGAAGGTATGGTACAACCATGAGATAATCTCATCTACCCTTTGTCACAAAATTCCCATTTGTGTGTTTGTGTGATAATTAAGAGTAGTAGTATGGCACAAAAGATCTAGAATAGAAAATTATCACTTCGGCTTCTGACCTTTCCTCTTTAAAATGTATTTTGCTGGCCAGGCACAGTGGCTCACGCCTGTAATCCCAGCATTTTGGGAGGCCAAGGCAGATGGATCATGAGGTCAGGAAATCGAGACCATCCTGGCCAACATGGTAAAACCTCATCTCTACTAAAAATACAAAAATTATCTGGACGTGGTGGCACATGCCTGTAATCCCAGCTACTCGGGAGGCTAAGGCAGGAGAATTGCTTGAACCCAGGAGACAGAGGTTACAGTGAGCTGAGATTGCACTACTGCACTCCAGCCTGGCGACAGAGCGAGACTCCATCTCAAAAAATAAATAAAAATTTAAAAAAAATTTTTGCGCTCATGCCTGTAATCCCAGCACTTTGGGAGGCCAAGGCAGGCAGATCACGAGGTCAGAAGATCAAGACCATCCTGGCCAACATGGTGAAATCCTGTCTTTAAAAAAAAAAAAAAAAATTTTTTTTTTTGCTAAAATACTTATTTTCTTGTGTTTGGCCCTATGATAAAAAGTAAAATGAGTGTGTCACTTGAGTTTGTTTCTGTTGTTGATGTAAAGCAATGGCCTAATAGTGTACTGCTTAATAAAGGAAAAGCCAGCTAGAATTAAATATTAGGTTTAGATAATTTTTTTTTTTTTTTTTTTTTTTTTTTTTTTTTTTTTGAGGCCTAGTCTTGCTCTGTGGCCCACGCTGGATCACAGTGCCTAACTGCAATTTCCACCTCCCAGGTTCAAGCGATTTCTCCTGCCTCAGTCACCCTGGGATTACAGATGCATGCCATGACACCTGGCTAATTTTTGTGATTTTTTTTGTTTGTTTGTTTTTTAGTGGAGACGGCCAGGTTGGTCTCAAACTCCTGACCTCAAGTGATCTGCTGGCCTCGGCCTCCCAAAGTGCTGGGATTACACGTGTGAGCCACTGTGCCTGGCCCTTGATAATCCATTTTTATTTAAATAATGGGAGCTGGACAGTGCCATGCCTATAGCCCAGCTACTTGGGAGGCTGAGGCAATAGGATTGCTTGAGTCCAGGAGTTGTGGACTGTAGTGCACTATGCTGATTGGGTATCCACACTAAGTTTGGCATAAATATGGTGACCTCCTGGGAGTAGGGAACCACCAGGTTGCTTAAAGAGGGGTGAGCTACCCCAGAACAGAAGCAAAAGCAGGGCAGAACTCCCATACTGATCAGTAGCAGGATTGCACCTGTGAAAAACCTCTGCATTCCTGCCTGCGCAACATAATGAATCCTTGTCTCTTAAAAAAACAAAAATGAGAGAGGCTCCTTTTACGTTTTTGAATAGTGCGCTTAACCTGTCATCACCTCCTTTTTAGCATTAGACTGTTCTAAGATGTTAGACTGTGTGGTAGTTCTTGAAAATTTACACGTCAAAGGGGTACACATCTGAAATGTGGGAAAGGTGTAAAAGTTCTAGATATCTTTCTAGACTTCATGGTAGTTCTGCCTTACCTGTATAACTCCTTTCTTCTTTAGAATGGTGTTTAGAAATAGTTTCCACTCAAGTTTCAAAAGAGAAGATTAGATAACTCCCAAGAGGTTAAAAACCTCTGATCGGGAGAGATCTTCTGGATCACTTAAGTATGTGACTACCATCCAAGGAACAAAGTTGTCACTTCGTTTGTGGGAATTTGCTCAATGCCTGTAGCATGTGCTCGGTGAATATTTGATAAGGAGGTACATTAAGAATCATTCTTAACTCTCACACTGATGGTCTTTGATTTGGTAATGTATATATCTATCTGATTAGCTCATGCAGAGTCCCCACAGTAACTTATTAGCATCCCTCTGCTGTCCATTGGTTTTAATAACCACAGCGTCTTTGTAGTGTAATTCATAAGTTTGTTTTGTTTGGCCTCTGTGTGTTTGGAAAGCAATTCTGCCTACTGTCACGTTTTCTGAGGTTTACATAGGCAAAAGCTTTGTCTTGAGAGGCAGTCTTTTGGGTTTCTTTTCTCTCTTGCCTACTCTGGAGCCAGATCCTGAGTTTGTGACAGAATCCTCTGTTTGTGACATCCCAGCCCCCCCACTGTAGCTCATGGTGATGTCACAAATGAAGAATTATGATCCTGGCAGGGGAAACAGATGAACTTGGAAGAAACAAAAGATCTTCTTTGCCTGCAGCTGTCCCTAGTCATGGGGAGGTGGGGGTTGGGAAGTGAAACGCTGATGATCCCCACGATTACCAGAACCAGCTATGCACAAAACAGGGTCCTTGTGAAGGCAACAGGGTGTGGCTACTGACATTTTGACTGACCTCTTCCTTCCCCCCACATTACTTTTCCATCTGAGGGGGCCAGGACAGTTAGCACACAATTATACTTACATAATGCTTAAGTTTACAAATTATCCTTAGAACTTTCAGGACATGCCAGGTGTGGTGGCTCACGCCCATGATTCCAACACTTTAGGAGGCCGAGGTGGGAGGATCACCTGAGGTCAGGAGTTTGAGACCAGTCTGACCAATATGGAGAAACTCCGCCTCTACTAAAAATGCAAAAAATTAGCCGGGCGTGGTGGCACACGCCTGTAATCCCAGCTACTTGGGAGGTGGAGGCAGGAGAATCGCTTGAACCCGGGAGGCGGAGGTTTCGGTGAGCTGAGATCACACCATTGCACTCCAGCCTGGGCAACAAGAGCGAAACTCCATTGAAAAACAAAAGAGGCCAGGCGCAGTGGCTCATGCCTGTAATCCCAGCACTTTGTGAAGCCGAGGTGGGCAGATCACCTGAGGTCGGGAGTTTCAAGACCAGCCTGACCAACATGGAGAAACCCCATCTCTACTAAAAATACAAAGTTAGCTGGGTGTGGTGGTGCATGCCTGTAATCCCAGCTTCTTGGAAGGCTGAGGCAGGAGAATTGCTTTAACCCAGGAAGTGGAGGTTGTGGTGAACCCAGATCACACCATTGCACTCCAGCCTGGGCAACAAGAGCGGAAACTTTGTCTCAAAAAAAAAAAAGAAAGAAAAGAACTTTCAAGACAGTAACCTGTGCCACTGAAGGAGAGGCATTCCTGTCCCTGCTATGTGACGCTGCAGAAAGTCTTCTCAGTGGAACGGCTAGTAGTGTTTACCAACTTGCTCATATTTTAAATTTTAGTTTTGGAATGGGTGTTATTCATGGTTCAAAAACTAGAAAGTAGGGCCAGGTGCGGTGGCTCATGCTTATAATCCCAGCACTTTGGGAGGCCAAGGAGGGAGGATTGCTTGAGGCCGGGAGTTCAAGACCAGCCTGGGCAACATAGCGAGACCCTGTCTCTACAGATAATTTAAAAAATTAGCTGAGTGTGGTGACATTTGCCTGCAGTCCCAACTACTTGTGAGTCTGAGGCAGGAGAATCACTGGAGCCTGGGAAGTCAAGGCTGCAGTGAGCCACTGTACTCCAGCCTGGGCAGCAGAGCAAGACCTCATCTCAAAAACAAAAACAAACAAAAGCTGGAATGTATGAAAAATACTCAGTGATGCTGGGCGCGGTGGATCACGAGGTAAAGAGATCGAGACCATCCTGGTCAACAAGGTGAAACCCCGTCTCTACTAAAAATACCAAAATTAGCTGGGCATGGTGGTGCACGCCTGTAGTCCCAGCTACTCAGGAGGCTGAGGCAGAATTGTCTGAACCCAGGAGGCAGAGGTTGCGGTGAGCCGAGATCGTGCCATTGCACTCCAGTCTGGGTAACAACAGTGAAACTCCGTCTCAAAAAGAGAAAAAAAGAAAAATACTCAGTGATGAGTGTGCCCTCAAACTTGTCCTCTCTCTGCCCAGTTCTCACTCCCCTAAGCTAACCACTGTTCTTATGATTTATATTTTCTTCTTTAGTTTTGTTGTACATATATAAAATAAAAGATCCTTGATTTCCTTCCTTTATTTGCCATGAAAAGTAGTATGCTTTATGCAGTTCTGCACCTTTTTTAAAAAAAAATAACCGAATAGGCCGGGTGCAGTGGCTCACGCCTGTAATCCCAACACTTTGGGAGGCCAAGGCAGGTGGATCACGAGGTCAAGAGATTGAGACCCTCCTGGCCAACATGGTGAAACCTTGTCTCTACTGAAAATACAAAAATTAGCTGGGCGCGGTGGCATGCACCTGTAGTCCCAGCTACTCAGGAGGCTGAGGTAGGAGAATTGCTTGAACCCTGGAGGTGCAGGTTGCAGTGAACCAAGATTGCACCACTGTACTCCAGGCTGGCAACAGAGTGAGACTCCACCTAAAAAAATAACTGAGTAGATCTTGGACATCTTTCCATATTAGTACATGAAGAGCTTCTTCATTCTATTTTGAATTTACATAGTATTCCATTATGTGGATGTCTACATTATCTAACCAGTCTCCTGTTGATGGAATTTAAATTTTTCTACTTGTAAGTTTCAGACTTTATCTATGCCTGATCCCCGTGGCCAGATTCCTAGAGGGAATGGGTGTCCCTTAACTCCAGGTTTCTCCTTTGCTTCATTTATTCTTGGAGTGAATGTGATTCAGCAAGACTCTCCCAGGAATAAACAGCAGCTAAACCAAAAATGAAAGCTCAGAGGACAAACTAGTAAAAAGAGAAAAACAGAATATATGGAGATGCTTTATGAGGCTGAAAAAATAGATTAATCCCCACCTGGTTGTGTGTATGAGAGCGCCTTGGCTTATGGTTTGTATAGTGGCATGATGGGAATAGTAATCTGATGTAGCCTATTTAAAGCCATTTAAAAGGAAATATTTTATTGGTAGATTTCTCTACTAAGTAGGTGGAAGAGAGGCCACCGCAGTATTCAGTGTGATGTGAGGCTTACATAGTTAGCAATGATTCTGCACCAGGTTATTTTTGCTATTTCTTGTCTTGCTTAATAGGCTAAGCATGACAAATTGTGCAAAGTAGCAAATAACAGTGTTCCTGAGAAGAATGTGAGTTTTGATGACAGTCACTATGGATATGATTCACTGGGGAGGCAGTTTAGCATGGTTATGAGGTTATAGGCTCTGGAATCTTAGGGTCTAAAATCAAATCCTGTTTCTATCACTAGCTTTGACAACGTGGAACCTTTAGTTCTTTAGTTTTCTCGTCAGTAAAATCAAAGTGATACTATGGCCTATTTCATAAAATCGTTGTAAGGATTAAAGGGGTTCACATATGAAAGTAACTCCATAATGTTCACTGTCCTCATTATCGTCTGGAATCATTGCTCTCCTCATTTCAGTGCATTTATCTCATGAATTGGTTATGTGTTTAAACTTTGATAGTACTTAACAGTGGACCCAGAGACTTCTTTGAGCTTTGAGTCTGTTACCTGTGACTAAACTGAAGTGAATATGTTTCTGGAGTCCAGGATGAAGAGCTTTATTGTTTTCTTCTTCCCCACAGGTTGTTTTCTGCATGGACCGTGCCCTAGAATTTGCCCCTGCCTGCCATCGCTTCAAAATCCTCAAGGCAGAATGTTTAGCAATGCTGGGTCGTTATCCGGAAGCACAGTCTGTGGCTAGGTATGCAGTCAGGCCAGTTGGGCATTAAAAAGCCAGATACCAGCTGGGCGCGGTGGCTCACGCCTGTAATCCCAGCACTTTGGGAGGCCGAGGCGGGCAGATAACCTGAGGTCAAGAGTTTGAGATAAGCCTGACCAACATGGAGAAACTCTGTGTCTACTAAAAATACAAAATTAGCCAGGCATGGTGGCGCATGCCTGTAATCCCAGCTACTTGAGAGGCTGAGGCAGAAGAATTGCTTGAACCTGGGAGGTGGAGGTTCCAGGGAGCCAGGGTCATGCCATTGCACTCCAGCCTGGGCAACAAGAGCAAAACTCTGTCTCAGGAAAAATAAAATAAATAAAATGCCAGATACCATTGGACTGATGCTGTCAGGCAGCTTCATCATAGGATATGGTCCCCACAGTAGGCCAGCTAGGGCTGATCAGGCCTTGGGACTTAAAGTATCAGGCCAGCTTTGAAAACCCACAGGGCATATATACAGGAGTATAGTAGTATAACAGGTACTTGAGCTATATATGAAAGAACAGCTATATATGAAGCTCATGTAACAGATTGTGTTACGTGAGTTTTTTGTGGTTTTGTTTGTTTGTTTAAGGTGGTCCTTTTCCTTCTACTCCACTGGTTGGCAAACTTTCTGCAAAGGGCCAGATTTTAGCCTTTGCAAGATACAGGGTCTCTTTTGCAACTAACTTAGCTCTGCCATTGCAGCGCAAAGGCTGCCTGCCCTAGATAATAGATGAACCAGTCGGTGTGGCTGTTTTAAAAGAGTTTTATTTACAAAAACCAGTGGCAGAAAGGGGTTGGCCCTGTGGGCTGTAGTTTGCCAAACCCTGTCCAGTCTAAGAGGAATTGTAAGACACAGATGTGTATTAAAGATAATTGTAGTTGTTTTATTTGGGGAAGGTTTGGGAACAGTTCTTGGGAATCTGTCTACCTTTGGATACTTTGAACACTAGACACATGGTCAAGGAAAAAAAAATGGCCACAGTAGATAGTAATGGTGGAGACATTCTAAAGCACAGCTCATTGTGCCCTTTTCTCACGATTGCAGTGACATTCTACGAATGGATTCCACCAATGCAGATGCTCTGTATGTACGAGGTCTTTGCCTTTATTATGAAGATTGTATCGAGAAGGCAGTTCAGTTTTTTGTACAGGCTCTCAGGATGGCCCCTGACCATGAGAAGGCCTGCATTGCCTGCAGAGTAAGTTCTAGTCACCAGACCGGACTGGGAAAGAAAGCTTCCCTTTGAGACCTTTAAGATGGTTACAGTGGAAGGTTTTAGAATCACAGGGAATGGGATAGCTTTTCCTCCTTCTTTGCAAGAATGCTTGGTCTTCAGTAGAAATGGTTTCCGGACTATGTTTACTTACCTAAAGGTAAATGTGATCATATAGGGTCAGATGCCTTTAATATCTGAGTTTTTTTTTTTTTTTTTTTCCTTTTTTCCCCCTCAGTGAAGATAGATAGTAATACTTGTCCTGGGATGTAGAGGCAGACCCAGTAACATAGGTTTCATTGGTGTTTTTTGTAACTCTTAGTTTCTCCTGTCCACTCTATAGGAAGCACAAATGAGCAACAGATAGCCCAGGTTGGGGGTTGGCCGGGCCCTGTGATGCTAAACTACTGGAAGCAGCCAACTTTAAAAGAGACTCTGGCCCCTCTGTGCGGTGGTCTGAGGCTTTGTGGATGTGCACTGATCCTCTCCTTGCATTTTTCTGTAGAATGCCAAAGCACTTAAAGCAAAGAAAGAAGATGGAAATAAAGCATTTAAGGAAGGAAATTACAAACTAGCGTATGAACTGTACACAGAAGCCCTGGGGATAGACCCCAACAATATAAAAACAAATGCTAAACTCTACTGTAATCGGGGTACGGTTAATTCCAAGGTAAGCGCTTGATCTGGATCTTAGGGCCTATAAAGAGATATTTTTAAGGGACATCAAAGGGTCTTGGGAAATCTGCCCAATGAGGGTAAGCCAGATGAAAGAGGACAAGTTATTATAGTTTATAGCTTGTTAGGAACTCCCTTCCAAGAGGCAAGCTTTTATCATCTCTCTGGAATTTGGGGGCAGTTGGACAATTTGCAAGGATATTCTCAACTGTTCTTTAAGGTCCCTTTCCTCCAGTAAGAGAATGGCTAGGGGTTGTGGGATAATTTTAAGCAGCTACCGTTGCTTTTTTTTTCCCCCACTTACGCAGATGATCATTTATTTTTTAGGAGTGATTTGGAGGAAGAGTAGAGGCAAGCTTGTTTTTCTCAGTATAACTGATGGTCACCATGCATGACTGACAATGGCCTGAGTGCTTTTGTGGCCCTACACAACATAAGAAAAAGTAGACTCCTTGCCCTTGCAGAGTTCTATTAGTTAAAAATCAGAGTAATTTCTGATCATTCTAGTTGGCCTCTGGAAAAAAGGTGGGCAGGAACCAGCCTTACTATTTCCATGTTTTCATTAGGCACTTAACATGGAATGGTAGAGCTAGTTTATCCTTGAAGAGAAATGTACCTGGCTTGCATCATATACAAGAGAAACCAATTTTGAAGTTGGGGTCCTACTTCTAGACCTAGTGACAAAGAACTAGAACTTAATATGACATTTAGGGGGCCAGCATGACTGATCCTCTTAGAATTTTGAAGCCATGCTCACAGCTTCTGGGCTTCCTCAGTCACCAAGAAGTGAAGTATGATTGCTCTCTCTCTCCTGAAGCTTAGGAAACTAGATGATGCAATAGAAGACTGCACAAATGCAGTGAAGCTTGATGACACTTACATAAAAGCCTACTTGAGAAGAGCTCAGTGGTAAGTGTCTCTGGTGGGTGGGGGAAAGAGGGAGTTGCCGCTGACCTCAGGGGAATTGCCTTGTGGATGACGAAGCAGACCCAGAGATGTTGTGAGGTCATTTGGTCCTTCCCCCTGCCTCTAGGTGGGATTGTTCCAGCCCTAGACTATCTTTATAGACCTCCAGCGGAGGAGATTGCACAAGCTCCCTCAGTCTCCCATGCCTGTGTCTAACGCCCCTCACGGTCAGTAAGTTTTCTCTGATGCCTGACCCAAATTCCTTTTGTTAAAGTTTAAATCCATTTCCTTTGGAGATTTTATTTTGTGTTGTACACTTATGCTCTAACTTGGCACAGTGCTTGACACATAGGTGCTCACTGAATAAATGTTTTGTCGAATGAATGTATGGTGCTTGGAAGAGAAAATATCTCTTAGAGATAGTTGAGAGTTGTACTTCATCCTATTTCTTCTGGGTGAGGAAAGACAATCTTATAGTTGGAAGAGATGTAATCTGGCTCAGCTTCCCAGGATAAAGGAACCTCCTTTGAAATACCCTGGATGGCTACTGTCTGCTTGAGTGTTTTCAGTAGAGGGCACTCTATGTCTGACGAGGTGATTATGAGCCAGGATGTGACTACTTCTCATGCTGAGATTTGCCTCAGAGTCAGGGTGTTCCCTGGCATAGTTGCTCCTCTTACTCTTAGACCTGACAGGTGATTTTCTCCAGAAAGGAACAGAGCTAGGAGAAACCTCTCTCAGAAATCCATCTCTTCTGATTTCAGATTATTCTCTAGGCAGAGAAGAACTTCCCGTCTTTAAAGTTCTTAAAGAAGACGTATTTGTTGTATATGAATCCTCCAGCACCTGCTCCACTCCTTACTATCAAGTGTCATATCCAAAGAACAGGTGCTGTCACTGATGCCTGATGAGCCAGTAGTTTAAGCTTCCTTGTCTCATCAGTGGTACAGAATATCTCATGGACTACCTCCCACTTAGTTTTCTCAAAATTATCTAATTTAAAATAGGAAAACTGCTGCTGTGTGTGATGCTTTTTTTAAAAGTGAATTTCTAAGTTGATGACTGAATCTGTCCAACAGAAACATCCATGGAATTATATTATAGCTTCTGTGAGACCAACTGTCAGTCCATGTCCAGCCTGTCATTCAGTCTTTGCAAGCCACTGTCACACAGAAGCAGAAGCTTTGGAAGACAAAAGATCACCCTGTAACTCAGCCAAAGACCGACTTTAACAGACCCAAAATGCTATCTACATGAAGGTGTTTGCTGCAATTTTATCTGTAACAGCAAAAAAAAAAAAAAAAAAAACTGGAGGGTGGAGAATCGCCTACATGTCCAGTGGGAAGGGAGTGGCTAGATACTTGATCCTGTGTCAACGTAATGGAATGCTCTGTATATGGAATGCCAGGGGATGGGAAGAGAACAGAAAAATAGTTTTGTTTTGTTTTTTGGGATTGAGTCTTGCTATGTTGCCCAGGCTGGAGTGCAGTGGTGCCATCATGGCTCACTGCAACCTCCATCTCCTGGGTTCAAGCAATTTTCCTGCTTCAGCTTCCCAAGTAGCTGGAATTACAGGCACATGCCACCACGCCCAACTAATTTTTATATTTTTAGTGGAGACAGGGTTTCATCTTGTTGGCCAGGCTGGTCTCAAACTCCTGACTGCAAGTGATCTGCCTGTCTTGGCCTCTCAAAGTGCTGGAATTACAGGCAGGCATGAGCCAACACACCAGGCCTTTTTTTTTTTTTTTTTTTTAAAGCAACCTCCAGCTAACATCATAGAAAATTCTTGATTTGCTCGAAGGCTAATTGGATGGAGGATTATTTTCTTCTTCATTTATGTGCAAGAACCAAAAATAAGGAACTGCTTTGATCAGACAACTTCTTATCTTTGTGGTAGAAAGAACAGAACTGCCCTTCTTGGAGTGGCTCTGCCTCTGAGATCACTACAGGGGAGACAGCATGCCTTGTTCAGCTGGCTGAGTATTTGGCAACAGTCTCCTGAAGCAGCTGGAATTGACAAGAAGTACTGAAGATTAGCTCAGGCCAAACCCTTACCAGAGGCCTGACCACTGCTGCAGTCTGCCTCAGTGTACCCCTAAAGTTGGGGAGATGCCACTCCCCCCCGCATCTTTGCTACACATGCCATCCTGAGCTAGAGTTCACCCTTTCT